ACACAAAATGTACAAAGAATGACTCTAGGAAATTGGAGGTAGTCAAAAATGAAATGGATTGAAATGTTACAAAGACTGATATCCTCCTAGGCCTCACTGAGCTGAAATGAATGGGTATGGGCCATTTTAAACCAGACAATCATATGCCAGGAGTGTAAAACTGAAAAGGAATGGCGTCATATTCATCGTCAAAAGAACATTTCAAGATTTATCTTGCAGTACAATGCTGTCTGTGATAGGATAGTATCTAATGAAACTTTGCTCCACTCACGTCATCATGATCAGCTCTACTTTGAGGAGGCAGCTCTTCTCCAGTTGCAATTTGAATGCCTTCCCAGCTGTGGGGCTCATCTTCAGGTGCTGTATCAGACAGCATTCCACCGCTATTCAGAAGGTTTTCAGAGGTTAACCCTTCAGAAATGGTCCTCCTCTCCTTCTTCCTAATCTGTCCACCATGGGCGAGCCTGTTGGTATTTAAAATATGGAGGCATAACTTCCTGCACCTCAGCAACATACAAACACCGTAGTATGGAAACTGATAGACGCATGGTGACATTCACATCATTGTTAAGTGCCGCTGAGTTGGTTCCAACTGACTGTGGTCCAGTGCTTATCCTACAGCACCATACCAGGACTCCATATTAACATCATAAAAGTGGGGATTTACAACACGTGGTAGAATTGCATCAGACTAGGGTTGATCACATCCTGGGAATAATTGCATTTTATTAGAACTCATCATCATGGGAGATTTTTGTTGTTGTTAAGTGCTATGGAGTCCATTCCCAGTTCTACTCATGGTGACCCTATGTACAATAGAGGGAAGCGCCGCATGGGGGATTGTTGTTGAGCGCTGTTAAGTCGGTTCCGAAGAGCAGCTGGTGGGTTTAAACTGCCGACCTTCTGGTTTGTAGTCTAGTGCTGATCCTACAGCGCCACACTTGGAGTCCCTGTGGGAGATTACTACACCTTAACTGCTAAACCACTGATAAACCCAGGTTCAGCCAAGTTGGCACCAAAGTTGAACTATTACAGCCACCGCGGACTTCATGGCTATTTCCCACGAACTCTTACCAGGCAGTCCATTCAGACCCACAATGATCCCACGTGTTACAGATGAACTCTACTCCTCAGGCGCTTCTTAGCGGTAATGTTTATGGAAACAGACTGCAAGCTTTCTTACACGACACTGCTAGGCTGGCCCCTATCAGCAAGCTTTTGGTTAATCTTTGAGTGAAAAACAGTCTGCCACCCAGGGACCTTTGAGGGTTCTATATGTATCTGCCAAATATAGAAAGATCAGATGTGCTTGTCTTAACTGCCCTTAACCTGTGCCTCAGGACGATCTCCAATAAGTGGGGTAATTGTCCTTTTTACTTGTTCTTGGGCTTTTCAATGTTTTCCAAAATTTCTACAATGAATACATATAACTTTCCAAACTAGAAAGGAGGATGATCTTTAAAATATGTCAAAGTAACTAGATGTATAGGGAAGAGTCAGAAATTATCCACACTCTGGTTTTATGAAAATGCCTGTCCACATTCACAGCTGAGGACAACATTGGGCGTGCCCATGAAATGGTTCTGTTGGACAGACAAGTGACTGTGGATTATGTGGCACATCATCTGCAAATCAGCTATGGCTCTGCCTACGAAATAATACTACACAGACTTGGGTTTTGAAAAGTTTGTGCGAGATGGTTCTAAAATTGCAACTGGAGAAGAGCTGCCTCCTCAAGAGGCATAAACAAAAGCGATTGGACATCTGCAAACAAAATTTGAACCAACACTCAAAGGAATGTCAAAGTTTCTTTAAAAAACAACACAAAACAAAACACGTTACTGGTGACGAGCTATGGATTCATCACTACGAGCCTGAGAGTAAACGGCAGAGCATAGAATGAATGGACGCATCCTCAACCACCAACCAAGTACATGTTCAAAAGTCAACCATCCGCTGGAAAATTGATGTTTACAGTTTTCTGGAATCCTCAAAGGGCCAGTATTGGAATACTATCAGGACAAAGTTCAACGATCCACAGTGCTCGTTACCACAAGACGCTCACTGAAGAGTTGAAGCCTAAACTGTGGACTGCTATTGTAAATGCACTGTGACCTTAAATGACAGTGCATGTCCACATATTGTTGACACTTTGCAAAAACTTGGTCTTGAGAGGTATTAGAGCATCTTCCCTCTAGTCCTGAGCTTGCTCCATCAGCCTTTCACCTGTTTGGTCCCCTAAAGCAGTCCTTGGAGGATGAAGAAGTGAAGACAGTTGTGCATTTGTGGCTCGCAGCTCAGCCTGAAACATTTTAAATAACGGAATATGAAAGCTTGTTGAAAGCTGGACACAGTGTGTTGAAAAGTAAGGAGATTGTGTTTAAAAAAAAAAAGATGTATCTGTCTTTTCTAAAAGTTGATTCAAATAAATTCTATGGCCAGAATGTGGATAATTTTTTATTCATCCTCATATATTCTTGCCTGAATTTTAAAAACTATACTTTAAAATATATTTTCCCAGAACTTTTTCAGGCACTGATTTTAAGTATTAGATCTGTGGAAAAATTGGGAAGGTAGTAGAGTGCGCATGTGCCCCTCAGGCCGTGTCTCCTGTGCAGAGGACATTTGTTACAATTGTTGAATTGCTATTGATACATTGTTACTAACTGAAGTCAGCTTCTCTCCGTTTTCTAGGACCCACCTGGCGTTTTGTTTTGTTGCCCTCTCTCCTCAGGATTCTGTATGCCGCAGCCGATCCTTGGTTTTGATGACGGCTGGGGTACTTTGTAGAATCCCTCTGTTGGGCTGTGTTCTTGTTTCATCCTCCATCTCCCTTTGTCACCCTTCCCCGAAGTGAGAAGCTAAGCAGACTGAACATCACGCCTAAGCTGAGTTGGCCTCTCTCCCCAGTTGCTGGCAAAGTCCTCGGACACAGGGACAGAAGTGAGTATTCATCTGGTGAAACCCCATGAGGGCTGGCCCACAGTGTCGTATTCATGGGCCCCCCAAGTTCCAGACACACAGAGCCGCCCTCGAGTCGCCTGGCCCGACACACACAGAGCAGTAACTCGTTAACGGTGCTGATGTCACTGTGGCCGCTTGCCATCTTGTGTGCACAAAGAGGGTTCGGTCTCTAAGCAGCACCTTCGGTGTCCCTCATGGCCCTGACTGCTGGGAGCCAGCCGTCCTTCCAATTCCATTCTCCCCAGGCAGGGCATTCCCCAGCCTCCTCGCCCCCCTCCCCGAAGCCCACTATCCATGCAGAGAGTCCTGTCTGTGGCCCTCCTAGGGGCCTGTGGCACCCTCCCTGCCCTCTGGGTCCATGTGCAGTGCTCGGTATAGACTTGAAAACTCACCCTCCTTCCAAGGAAACTCAGTTGTACCAGCTCTATGGCCCGCCCAGCCCACTCATAGCTATTCCCACAACACTGCTGCACTCAAAAAGACACACATTTTGCACTTGGCGAGCGGGCCAAAGACCAAGTTCATCCACACAATAGGAGCGCCATCCAATGGTAGTTCCCACGCATCGGGGAACAGCCCTCCAGGGTGAGCATTAAATGAGCCACTCAAGAGGGGGCTTCAAAAAGTTTGTGGAGAAATGGAATGAAAAGGTAATAGACTTTTTCCATGGTGGTGTCCCCCTGTACGTATGTATGTAGGTGCATACATTTTCTGGGTGACAGATAGAATGGTTCTGGAAAGTTCCTGAGATCCCAAGGTTGGTTGCTCTCAGGAAAGGAATTAGCTGGCTTGTGGCTGGACAAGAGGGGAGAACTTTTAACTTAAAAATAAACCCTCTCTTTTGCGTTGTTTGAATTTTGAGCCAGGAACAAGTATGAGTATCATTGTGTAAAATATATACAATGAAAACATCTCAGAAACATTAGCTGAATACAAGGTGTCTTTCTGGGGTGAGAGAGTTTTAAATGAGAGAGACAGAGGGTGATCATACAAAATCGTGAATGTCCTAAACAGCACTCCTTAGGGATTGAATTGAATTTACAACCAGCATTGTAAATCCTAACTCCATCCCTGTGGTTATAATGTCATTTGGGAGTGGGCTGTCTTCCTTACATTAATGAGACAGTGTTAGTTTCGCAGGTCCATCTCTAGAGTCCATCTCTTTGGAGATATAAAAGTTTAAGAAAGGCAGAGAGATGGTTGAGACAATTACGTGGAATCAAGTACTTTTCCCAGAGCCCACAGAGAGAAAGCCTTCTCCTAGATCCAGAAACCAGACTTGCCGCCCCCTGGCGGTGAGAAAACACATTCCTGTTGGTTAGTCACCCAATTGCTGGTAGAGTAGCAGGAGAGAACTGAGACGCTGCAAAGTTGTTCTCTTTTAAATGGTTACTTGTTTGCTATGTGAATTTCACCTCAACTTTAAAAACCAGCCAGCTGTGGTCATTTGTGTTAGAAAGTGGTGACCAGCCCCAGCTAGCCTGGGGGCAGGCATTGAGGGCGGGGCTTCTGTATTTACTGAAGGGATGTGAGGGTCTGGGTGGGGTGGGCCTGTAGGAGTCCCCTGGGTCTCTCCCCTTCTGCTGCCCTGCAGGTGAAGGCAGGGGGAGAGGAAGGAGCCACCATTCAAAGAAACAGCTCAGCAAGGTGAGGGTCTTTGGTTGTCTTTTTTTTTTTTTCATTATTTAAAAAAAATATTTTACAAAACAATATCATTCATTATATATTTCTCATTCATTTTTCCTTTTAAAAAAATTAAAAGTAATAAAAAAAAGTCACTTTATAAAATAATACAAAAAGGCAGGAGAGGCTAGGGCAGGCTGGGAGGGGCCTTCTGGGCTGAGGAATCCAGTGCTTCTGGCTCCCCCCCCCTCCGTGGGCTAGAGGCTGGGGGGGAGGTGGTGGGGCCAGGAGGGTCACCAGGCCGCAGCTAGGCCATCGCAGGATGCTTGGAGGCAGTGGCAGGGGCAGGGAAGCTGCTGAGTCCTGGCGGGTGGGGTGGCATGGGGTCTTCTGAATACTGCCCCCCAGGACCCCTAGCTCCCGCTGCTTAACATCCCCAGCAACTTACTGGGTTCTAGGCCCTGCTGCTGGGCTACAGTCTGCACATCGAAGCCCATGTGCATGAGGAACTGGGCCACAGTCATCTCCTGGCCCGTGAATTGGTCCCGGATGGTGGGACATGAGGGGTTGCAGTGGGGCCAGGGGCAGCTGTCCACCAGGTGGACTGGACAACCCTTCAGGGGGGCCCGGCTGGCCTTGTGGTTGTCCTGGAGACTTCTGTCCCAGCAGTGTAGTGCACGGGGCAGCGAGGTGCCTTTCACCTGGACGTCTGTCCAATGGCTGTGGGCAGAGACCCAGTGGGATCACGTGGGAGCCACCCAAGAGGTGAGCAGACAGGTGAGGGATTGTAGGGGTAACCATGGATGTTGAAGGACCAGCTAATACAGACCTGCGAATGATGATCTCGTGGGAGAGGCAGGCAGGAGCAAAGCTGGCCCTGGGGGTGGGGGGTGGGGGAGATGCAGTGTGAGCCCCCCACATCCAACACCTTCTTCTCCATCCTTACCCACGATTCCATGCTCTCCCCAGCAGGCCCTCCATCTAGAGCCATCCTTGGCCTGGGTCCACCCTGGCCTGGAGTAGGTTGGCATATCGGGGTGCTCATGAAGTATGCAGAGGGGCTGGGCCCTGACACTCACGCCACATCCTTGAGTGTGTCCCGCAACTGTTGGCCCAGGCTCTGGATGTACAGCCACTGGCCCTCTTGCACGGGCTGCCCCGTGAGGGGCACATTGTCCACCGTGAGTTGTGCCTCATCAAACAGCCATTGTACCACGAACACAGGGCCTGAGACCGGGGGGGGGGGGGGGGCACGGCTCAGCCAAGGCCTCCCCACAGTGTGGGGTATGAGTGATAAACCACCCACCCTCCAGCTGTTGCTGCTTCGGGCCCCCCAGGTTCTCACTCACAGCGAAGGGTGGGGTAAACTTTGTATCCGAAGAAACAGTTCCACTCCTCACCCTCCTCAAATTGACGGCGGCAGCGCTCGGGGACCACCCCTTTCCAGTACCTGGGGTCACACGCAGGAATCAGGTTGCGGAGCTCCCCACAGCCCTGCCACCAGTACACAAACCCAGCAGGTGAGGGACGGGCACCTGACGCCACGGCGGATGGCTTCAGTGGGGGCACAGGTGGCGGTGTCGACGCAGTCAGTGCGGCGGTACTGCTGGTTGTCTAGGAACCAGCCTGAGTCAGCCAGGCCCCGAACCTGGATAGCCGGGTAGCCCAACTCCTCCAGCTGTTCGGCCACACGGTCCACATTCAGCAGCACACCTGTGCCGCCAGCGCTGCAAGGAAGCCTGAGGTGAGGCCAGGTGGCAGAGAGGGACTCCCAGAGCCTACTTGTCCTGAGCTCATGCCCCCATAAAAGGTTCACTGCAAAGCCCTGGGCAGAAAGGCGCTTGGGTGCTCCCCCATCTCTCCTTCCCTTTCTCCCTCAATTTTCTCATCTGAGAGTGAACTCTGTGGTCCTTTATCTACTACCGAGGTGGCCCCTGAGTGTGCCTGGGGGCATGTGGTGCTGAACAGGGTGGTCCCTGCCTTAATGGGCTCCCAACCCCAGGAGAAGATGCCTTCCTCCATAGCTCCTCACTCCACCACCTCCCAGGTGAGGACAGCCTGTGCTCTCCCTCCCATCCAGCCCATGGAAGCCAGCTACACCTGCTATTCCAGCATAGACCACTCTGGACCCAAATCTCAAGCCACCCAAATGATGTCAGCTCTCAGGGCTTAGCTCCCCACCCCTTCCTGGCTACCTGCTTAGGTTTGGCAAGGCTAGAACCTCTGGGACTCCCAAAGGCACATCTGCCTAAAAGATTCTCCCATCCAGCCCCACTGGTCCAGCCCCTCTCACCCGCAATTCCCCATCCCCAACGCTCTGCCCCTCCATCTGACCCACCTGCTCCCAGCCAGAAGCAGCACCCGAGCCCCGCTCAGCCCTTTGCCCAGAAGTTCTTGTACCACCTCCCGGATGATAAGGGCACCCATAAATGCATACTCGTCTGTACAGAAAAAGGGGAGACTTGAGTGGGTCCCTGGGGCCTTGGCAGACAGTAAGACGTCCCACCCCCAGATGATGGGAGGAGGGGCTTCTGGGTCCAGCTAGGGGTTCTTCCTGTGGCTTGGACAGCTTGGAGGGAGGTGGGGCAAGCACATGTAGCCATGTAGGGCCCCCTCTCCAAGTGATAGGCCAGCAGGAGACAAGCTGGTATCCTGGTGGCCTCCACATGAGGAGTCTGTAGACCTTAGAATCCCTGTCTTTCTCCAAACCAAGGAGAGACCAAGACGGAGGGGGCAGGGAACTCACTCTTCTCAGACTTGGAGGACACCCCACTCCACACATCACTGGAGCAGTAGGGGATGAAGCTGCAACAGACAGAAGGGGGGAGGCACCAAAGTCAACCCTGTGGCCAGTGATTGCCAGGAAGGAGGATCAGCCCCTCAGACCACCCCCAGAAAGGATCTCTCTCCAATAAGGACCAACCCCCTCCAGAAATGACTGCTCCCCCAAGGGCCACCCCCCAGAAAGCATGGCTACCCCAAGAAGAATTGCCTCCAGGTAAATACAGCCCTTCCCCCAGGAAGGGCCACCCCCAGGAAAAACCAACCCCCTCCACAGAAGGACCACATACTAGATAGGACCAGCCTTCAAAGACCACCCCCAAGAAAGCCCTCCCCAGGTAGGACCAGACCCCACCTCCCCCGCAACCCAAGGGCCCCTCACATCCTCTTACACCCTGTTGGCATTCCACCAGTGTGGATTCTCCTCGGGCTGTGAGGATAGGATCCCTGTGCCTGGGAGAGGGAGGACAAAGAGGGTGCATCAGAGAAACGGGGTTCCTGCCAGGTGGCAGGGGAAGCCGGAGCTGGGGTCTGCAGACTCCTGGGATAGCTGCTGTGATCCCCTTCCTCCACCCCCGCCACTGGCGTGAACCCAGGGATGCCGGCGTAGAGCAGCCGCGCGCGAGATCTCCCCAGTTAGTGGAAGTAGGAGTCCCAGCCGTTAGGAAGTTGAGAGACAAGCCAGGTCAGCCGGGGACAGGGCGCATGGGTCCGCTCAGGGCCCTAGAAAGCGACTTTGGGGGTGCTGCTTAGACGACTCCAAAATGTAGTTCCAAGACGCTGCTGCCCCTCCAGGGGGAGCGTCCTGGGCGATGGCGGGGTCTGTGCTCCACTCCCCCGCTGCTCACCTGTGCGAGTGCGCGGCCAGTCCTTGGAGCTCATGAGGCGCCGCATAGTGTCGTACCGGGAGTCGCAGTTCTGACGGTTGAAGCAGTACCAGCCGCCTGCAGGCAGAGTCACCACGTTCAGGACCCGCACCTGAGGACCCGCGCCCGGGGACCCACGCCTGCCCCGCCGCCTCGGCCACGGACGCACCTTCCAAAAAGAGCAACCACCGCCGGCTGCCCTTGGACTCCTTCAGGTAGTAGCTACACGGGAGGGCGGGACACGCAGTCAACAGGGCAGCAGGACCGGGGTCAAAACGCCCCCAGCCCGCGCCCCGCTCCAGGGAGCAAAGAGTTATTCCACCTGTCGCCCGGTGGGCGAGCGCTGTGACCGCACGGGGGCGCCGGCGGCCACCCCACGCGGAGCGAACGCGCTGGGTGAGCGTCAGCGGCCGGTCCCGGCGGGTCCCGGGAGGTGGCGCTCGTGGGGCGAGGAAGAGCTACGAGGGGTTGTATGGTCTGTGGAAAATCCCCACTGCCCGCCTGGCTCGGAACCGGCTGTAACCTCGGCGCGGGCGGCCGTCGGGGGGATGGGTCAGGCTGGGCTCTGGCTCCTCAGGGGCTCAGCGAGGCACCTCGCTAGAGGCGTGTGCGTGGGGCACGGGGGTGGGGTGGGCGCGCCAGGAGGGCACAGAAGGGACGTCACAACCTTGCTACCGAGGTCGACCTAATGGCCAGTTCCTTGGGCTGTGGTTAACCTGCGGAGGGGCCTGGGTATTCATGCCTCATCCACCTCCAATTTCGCATAAGTCCTACATCGACCTCAGGGCTAGGGGTGAGTGGGTGGGTAAAGTGCGGCACCGGCTCCTTCTATTCTACCTGTGCCCTCTCCATGCCCACAACAATTCAGCTGGCGCTGGCATTCCTGGCGGTCTTGCCTTCTTACCGGGGAAGGAGCAGGCGGGCGGCCAGGGTCAGGGGACAGCAGGGCTCCCCGGGGTCCCTGTGCCCCCGTGTCACCTTCTCTAGCCGGGGAGGGGGCCACGGGCCGACTGCTGTTTCCCCGCTCAGTGGCCGAAGGACACCGCAGAGGGACTGACGCGGGTGGCCGAGGGGTCAATGTCTGGGCTGACCAGGGACGAAGCCTGCAAGCGCTGGGCCACCCCCACTCAGGGGGTCAACTAGTCGCACCCCCAGGTCGCTACACGAGATCCCGTTCCCTGGGCGTGGGGACAGAACTGCCCGCCGGTAGGGAGGGTCCCGCTTTGAGCCCTGCGCGCACGGACGGCCGGGGCCTTACCCCGCGGGGCTGCCGTCGTTACAGGTCACCGACGTGTTGAGCAGACGGTGCAGGCGAAGGTCCTCGTTGAGCTGCTGCGCCGAGCAGGGGTACAGGGACTGCGCCAGGCTCTTGACCTGTGCCATGAAGCTGTCCATGTTGCCCTCCACGGCCGTGAAATCCAGCGGGAAGCTCTCCACCGGTTGTCCGGCCGCCGGCGCCGCCTCGGCC